ATCTGATCATTTCATCCATCTTTATGCCTAACACTGTTTATCAAACACTGACAAATTGCTTATTCAGCGGCGTGCATTATAATGTCAACTGAAATAAATAGGATAGTCACAAAATTAAATGGGACACTATTTTTCCTTCAAGAGGTGGACCTTGTAATAGTAATGTGAGCTATCGTTATGTCTAGGATTAGTTTCTCTGGAGTGTGATAGTTTGTTCAACCATTTTTTGAAAAAGCATCTCTCCCATGTAAAGCACTTGTGCTGGGTACATGAGCACTACCAAGATGAGTGACAGGCAAGTAAAACAGTGATTGTGACAATTGATAGAAATAGTTATACAATAGAAATGCCAGCTCAAGTAGAAAGAACTGAAAGTACGCTGTAGGGTGTTAGGTAACAGATTACAAGTTTGATTCCCAAAGCTCATAAAGTGCAGAATCTTGAACTGGCAGAGTCATATTTGTCTTGTTGCTTGAGTCACATTTTCATGGTGGCACGTTGCTCAATTACTTTGGGCTGGAAAGGTTATTCATGTAAATGCATCCAATAGTGCATTTTTTTTCTTTTTTTTTTAATTTGAGTGTAGTTGACACACAATGTTCCATCAGTTTCAGGTATATAACATAGTGAACTGACAAGTTTAAACATTATGCTGTGCTCACCACAGGTTTAGCTACCATCTGTCACCATACAACACTATTACAATATCATTGTCTATATTCCTTATGCTGAGTCTTTTCTTCCTGTGACTTATTCAATCCATAACTGGAAGTCTGTATCTCCCACTCCCCTTCACCCATTTTGCCCTTCCTCCCATCCTTTTCCCCTCTGACAACCATCACTTTGTTCTCTATGTTTCTGATTCTGATTCTGCTTTTTGTTTGTTTATTCATTTGGTTTTTGTTTGTTTTTGTTGTGTTGTTGTTTGTTTTAGATTCCACATACGTGAACTCATATAGTATTTGTCTTCCTCAGTCTGACTTACTCTCTCGATCCATTCATGTTGTTGCAAATGGTTGATCTGAACTTTTTTATGCCTGTATAATATTCCATTATATATATACACCACATCTTCCTTATCTATTTGTCTTTCAGGGGGCTCTTAGGTTGCTTCTATATCTTGGCTATTATAAATAATGAATGCTTCTGTGGAAACCAGTATGGAGTTTCCTCAAAAAAAAAAAAATAGAAATACCATGTGATTTAATAATTCTATTAATGGGTATTTACCCCCTCAAAAATGAAAACACTAATTTGGAAGGATATATGTACCCCCAGTGTTTTTTGCAACATTATTGACAATGGTAAAATTTTAAGGGCAAACCATAGAAGTAAAACCCATTCTTTACTTAATTCTAAATCATATATAGGCATCATTGAATATAGCATGTTTCCATGTACAAGCATCCTAATCTTCCCTTGTCTTGATATCTTTTTCCTAGGTACTCCCTCCTAAGAAAGCTGTGAAACCTGGCATGGCTTTCTTGTTTGAACTCTGTCTCCTTCGTGGAAAATATGCTTGTTTTGACTGGGTTTTGGGCTGGGCAGCCTTCCCTTTGTGTGATAACAACTTTGATGTAGTGGAGGGAAAATTCAAGTGTCCCCTTCTCCGAGGACATTATGACCAGACACTTGACAACTTCAGGAAAATGGAAGATTTGATTTGCTTGGACTTGGACCACTGGCTGTGCAATCTCAACTTTCAGGTTTGTAATATGATTTTGTAAGTGGAAAAAAGAACTTAAAATTTTTCTAAAGCTGCTTATTTCTAGCCTTTACCTTATTTTTTGTGCTGTTGAAAATTTCAATAAGTATCATAAACCTGTAAAAGCAATCACATCCTAATGCTTTCTTGACACTGATTAAATTGATGTCTACAAATAAGGAATACAATTCTAGAATTGGCAGAAATCTTAAGGAAAATTTAATCCAAACTTCTAGGTCATGAGTGGCCCAGAAAATCACCCAAATCCTTCAATTCTCAGTTTACGATTTGTTGCTGCTGGAGCTGATCTGTCTCGCCAACTTGGGTATAAGGCTATGATGTTTCCTTATCAGAAGTACTAACTGAGCTACTATTGTGTGCTGGGCATTGCTTATTTTAAGGATACAAAAGAGATTAGATATAGTCTGTGCCTTCTAGATGCTTGCCTTTTATTTGAGGAGACCAGCATGTGTTCATAAAAGGAGTAATTAATGACCCACATTTCCACAGGATAAAAATCGCCATTACAAAGCTCCCTTTGCCATCCATACGTATCACTTCAAAGCATGCTGTCTTATTTACCTCAAAAATTAAAAACAAAAAACACTCCAAAAAACCCTTGGGCATATACAATTTATTTGTATATATTTGGAAATGTATTTTCTAAGCAGGTCTTTTAGCAGAAATGTCACTGTATAAATTCATTCTAAGAAAATACCATGGAGGATTCCCCCTCCCCAAGAAAATGACAGCATACATAAAGTATAATAAAGCATTCCAACACAATTTTAGTCTATTTCTGTCCTATATGTCCAAATTTGTTCTTTCTGATTATGATGTCTTTCCACAGTGCCTGTATCATAAAATGCTATGTTTTTTTCTTGCTTACCTACATGTTTGACTTTTCCCAGTCTGTCCATCTATCTGTCTGTCTATCTAGCTAACTGGCTAGGTAGTTCTCAATCAATCTAATCTAATGTATGTATGTATGTATCTATCATCTGTTATCTACCTATCACCATCATCTATCTACCTAAATGATGGAACTACTAAATACGGACATTTCCAGGAAACCCATGCAGTTTTGGCTTAAAAATCAGCAGCTATTTATCCTTCTTGTGTGATGGTCTTCCTGTTTCTTATTTATTTTAAGTTGAATCAGCTGGCATTTTTTTTTTCCTTTTAGCTAATTCCATTATAATGTTTTGCTGAAATATCTTTTTGAGATATTGTAGGTTGTGGTTAAGAAAATAAATCTAAATATAAATCTAAATCCAAATATGTGCCTTTCTACTCATTCTGAAAATAGTATCATTCTGAGTCAAATTTGACTGTACATTGAAATCATGTAAGAAGCTTTTAAAATACCATGCATAGGTCTCATTCCCAGAGATTTTGATTCAGTTGTTTTGAAGTGGGGTGTCAGGATCAGAAATTTTTAAAAGTTTCTAAGGTTTAGAAACACTGATATAAATACATTTGAAAATGAATTCAAAGGAGTTATTGAAAAATCACCCAAATTTTGAAGAAAACTATAGATAACCCATAAAACAATGTTTAACAAATTGGTGACTTGAATACTGTACCAAGAAATCACAATGGAATAAAAATAAAAATAGAGTCATAAAAGAAAATCAATTTTGATATAGGTTTGCTAGCTACTGTGAAAGGCATCTGTAATTTTTTACTAATTGTTACCTAAAATTCAGTAGTCTAAATTATAGCAAGGAAAATCAGCACCAATTTTATTTCATAAAACATCTGGGTAGTACTGGTATTGATTGTAAAGATATGAGTATTTTATATTTGAGATAAATCAAGAAGTGATGTTTAAAATTTACAAGGTCAAGAAAAGTAGTTATTTGATAAACAGCATTAGAAAGCTTGATTTCACTAAAATCTACTTGATTTGGACACATTACTAAAATTTTCCCCTTTTTTCTCTGACTCCTTTTTTAAAAAATTGGTGAAAAGTAATATTATGATTTATTTGTAGAGCCCACTGGCCATTATTCATTACAGATGGTTATAATTGTCTACTAACTTTCTTACTTGGTAACAAATCTTCTCTCTATATATTTCGTAGGGAGGGGGGGTGCGGGGTGGATCTTATTAATGAAAATAGTGCCATTAGTCAATATGTGATTTTCTGATCATAAGGCAGAATAAGTAGGAATGTATTTGCTTCTCTTTCATGAGGATAAAAATGAAATTTTCTTATCTTGAAACCCAATTTTCCTCTTACGTGAAATTCTAAAATATTGGGATTTTTCCAGTGTGAGTTTTCTCAAATGCAATTTTTGAACAAGTCAATATAATTTTTGAGTACTCTTTTTGGAGTTACTCAGAAAAAAAAATAATAACTTGGAACAGGGAAGAGAAAAGATGGGTAAACTAGATATTAGAACAGAAAAGTGGTTTCTGAAATGTAGCTTTAGAAGAGATGAAAAGAAATAAGTCAGATAAATTATGATCATTTCCCTCCCATTCTGTTAGTGGAAGGAAAGTGCCAGGGCATGTGGCTTAGCCATGACCTCACCTGTTCCACCACATGTTGTGATTAGGGATAGAACTCAGGCTCACACCCCGAGCGTGGAGACAGGAGAACAGGTCTGATTCGGCCCCCATAGGGTGTGTGAAAGAATTCAAGAGGAACAACTATGCAAGCAGGATAGCCTTTAACTTTTTCCCGAACTTCCTCACTTTTCTAAATATTTCATTTCCTGTGCCATTGATTATTTCCACCAAGTACTTAATTATTAAAATTGCAAACATAGAAAAGTTGAAAAAAAAATGGCACAGTGAACACCCATACGTTCACCACTAGATTCTGTAGTCTTGTCTTTTATATTTGAATTAGAAATATTGTTTCTTGGAGATAGTAAATACTGAATGAATATTTGCTAACTTGATCCTGGTATGCATATCAGGCAAACAGTGTTATTTGTGAGAAGAAATTAAAGAAAATTGTAAGGCAAGACAAAGAAAAAACTAAGAACTATATAGAGCAATGGTAATGCCTACAGCAATATGTAAATCTGCTAATACAAAAAAAGGCATTCTTTGTAAGGCAGCCAAACAAAAGCAAACATAAGGTTTGGAAAATTAAATTCATCATTGACCTTTTAGAGTTTGCAAATTGTATCATTGTTCTAGGGTGAAATTAACTGTGTGTGTAATATTTTCAACAGTTTAGATAAGAGATTTATCTCTTAATAGGTTATTAAACTTCCTCTGTGTTTGGATGATCAACAAACCTATGAAAGACAAACTCCGCTTTCCCCTGAATTTCCAGTTTCTTTAATGGCTGAAGCACAGAAAGCAGAATCAGGCGTGGAGAATACTCCTGGCCTTTCAGAGAAACAAATGGAGGAAAACATTTGTGCATCACTGGATGATAAAGCTAAACCCTCCCTACACTCTTCTCAGGGTTAGTAGACCGTTTTCAGCATTTTTTTACTAATATTTCCAGTTATGTTATATTACAGAAAACTGAGAAAGACATTTTAATTATTAATGTATTTCTTTCTATGCCATGCTGCTTAAAGAGAATGTAATCATTGACAAGAATATCAGTTTCCATTTAACATAATTATTTACCCTCAATCAAATATAAAATTACTTCATTGAAACACAAATCTTTCTCCGTGGCATTATGGCTCTAAAAATATTTTTTAGTTTTTTGGGGGGACAAGTTGACTTTTTTTGGTTCTTAGTTCTAGAACTAAGCCTTCTTGCTTGCTCACAAGAGTGGTAATCACATGGCTATGAAAGAGAAAATAGTCTCAGAACGAAGTTCTCCAATTATATAGTTTATTTTATAAACTTCACTCTTCAAAGACTGGCTTAATCAAGCACTAAATAAGCAAATAACATTCTTTGTACTATTTAATGTACAGAAGTTTCAGCCTATAGAAGAGATATATTAGACATGACTATTATTTTTTGCAAGATAATTATTTCCTTTACCAAAAGATTCACAAGATTCTTTAACAGGTTGGATCCTCTAGCAGTAATAGTATTAGAAGCAACAGTAGGGGATGGATTGGTAGTAGTTGTAGTAAATATATTATTCCTTGCAGTAACTACAGTAGCACTTACAGTATCACTAGCATAATAGAAGGATTACCAGGAATAATAATTACATATGATGCATGTTTTTCATGTGCCAGGCACTGTAGTAGGGACTTTATTTTTTAGTTTGGAAATTATTGAATATATTAAACATACTGTACAGAAAATAACGTCACATAAACCAGTAAGGAGTACCCAACTGTGTCCATTCTTGCTATTTTGCCATCTTTGCTCCCCATCTTTTCTTTTAAAAAATAACATTTTACATGTGATTAAAGCCTTCTGTGAAATGCTTGCTGGTTCTGTTCCCAACCCTCTGAGCCTTCCTATTGATCATTCCCATATATGGTCTTACATATGTATGTAATTATAAACAATGTATAATATCTTTTCTATGTTTTTAAGGTTTGTGTTAAGTAACCATGCTTTATATCTATTTCTGCAACTTTATTTTCTCTCAGTATTATCCTTGACATTTGCACAACTCCTACACACACACTTATATGTATTTTTGGTTTATTGATTTTACTGCTGTATAATTATGTACATGGCAACATGCATGATTGTAACAAAATTTGTTTATTTTTATCTTATTTGTTGTTTCAAGTTTTACTCAGTTGCAAACAAGATTACAGTGATTATTCTTGGACATGTCCTTCTTGTGCACATAGGTGCAGATTTCACTAGAGTAAAAGATATTTCCTATCCTGGAGAGGAACCACTGAATCACAGGGCACACACTTTTAAAATTTATAGTGTAGTGACACATTGCCATCAAAGTAGTTGTATCAATTTGCCCTTCTAACAGCTGGGTAGGAGTTTGTTAGGCTCACATCCTATCAATCTCTGTTATAATTAGTTTTGCCAACTCAATTGCAATGTAATATCTCTTTGTTTTAATTAGAATTTCCCTGAATATGACTAAGTTAGAACATTTTTTTTTCATACCTTTCTGTTAACCATTTGGGTTTTATTTTCTGTGAATTACCTATATTTATATTTTGTTCACTTTTCCTTTGGGTCATTTTAAAAACTTTTTCTTACTGAACTGTAAGAGTTCTGGACCTCTTTTTTTTTTTTAATGTGGGATGAATCATGGGAAGCATTTGATTTCTAATTCAATCTTTGATTGCTATTGATTATTCAATCATTCTATTTAATTCATTTGAAAAACTAATTGAATTAAATTAGTCATGGTATTATATATTATGTACATATTATATACATATGTATATAATGCAATATAATGTCACTATATAAACATATTAAATACATAATGTAATATATATTACATATTATACACATAATATATGTGTATATATATACGTTTGTATCCATAGTATATTATCTTCAAAGTTTATTTCCTTTTGTTATGGTTTTATTGAACAAAGAATACACTCAGATTGCTTAAAATAAAATCTGCCTCCCACCGCAGCCTAGTTCTTCTCCTTGGAGGAAACTAATGTTTTCTGTGTAGTATTCAATAGATATTTTATGTTTCTAAACGAAAATACATAAATATACTATTATAATTTTGAAATACCACTAAATTTATAATTATGTTCCTCTTTTCATTATTCACATTGGTCAATATATGCCTTCTTTGCTTTTCTTTAGCAGTCTTGGTTGAATTTTAATCTTTTTATTCATTTTTTAAAAATATACAACTGCTCATTTACCTCCATTAAGACTTTCTCTCCATTGATCTTTTGTTTTCTGTATTTATATTCGGCTTTATTATTTCTTTGCTCCTATTTTCTTCTGGTTTTGGGGGGAGTTACCTTTTAATCTCCTTGATTGGAAAGCTTAAGTCTTTATCTTCAGTTTTTATTTACATGGTAGATATGTGTGAAATCGCCAGTCCTGACTAGATCTGTCCATTTATCCCTGTAGTTCTGTCAAATATTGCTTTATATATTTTAAATGTGTTGTTAACTGCCTGCAATTTTATGATTATTTTTGTGTTATTATTTCTTTATACAGATGTAGTCTCCCTCTATATGTCTACTAATGCTTCAATTTATATTCTATTTCTTCTGATATTAATACTACCACCCTATTTTTTTAGTAAATATTTTTATGGCATATTTTTTCCTAATATTGATTTTATGAATTTAAAACTCATCTGTGGTGTTGCTATTGATTATTCAATCATTCTATTTAATTTCCCTGAATTGAATTATGGCTTAACAGCATAAATCTGGATTTTTATTTTTGCATTCAAGACAAGTAGTTAATATGTGTCTTTTAACAGGTGGGTTTAATTTTTTGTAAATCCTGTTATTACTGTTATATTTGTACTTGCTGATAACATTTTTTTGCAATTTATTTTTGCCATCCTATTTCTTTGCTTTTTAAAAATATTTTCCTGAATTTTTCTTTAACCAAAAATAATTTTCTTTATTTTGTTTATCCTCTGCTCTTTATAATCTACAGATTTTATTGTTAATTATGTCAGATGTTATCCCGAATTTTCTCATCTACATGTTTAACTAAAAATTGTTTTAAAAAAATCTAATTTCATCTGATTTTTCTCTTCTCTTCCTGAGCATGACAAGGACTTTTCGTATGCTTTACCTACCCATCAAACACCTCCATGTACTCTCACGTTATTGTTGGCTATTCTTCCAGGTCACTCTTTTGTTAAACAGAAAACTTAGTTATTTTCTTTTCTCTCTCTCTTTTTTTTTTAGTCTCAATAGAAAATTAATTTACTGACATATTTGGTCAATATTTGTGCTCCACAGTATTTTTATGTAGCTAGTTTCCACTTTTATTTTTCTTCTTGTTGAAAAAATTTTTTAGTAATTCATTTAGAGTTTCGGTCTGTAAAGTGGTAAACTCTGTTAGCCTTTGTACATCTGAAAAAGTCTTTATTCTTTTCCCACTTCACTCACTTTTTCTCATTGCCATCATTTGTCCATGTATACATTCTAGGATAGTAATAACTCCCTCGCTATTTTATTGGGTGTCTTTTTCTGTCTATTGCAGCTAATGAGAGGTTGGTATTAAGTGGGTAGCCATTGAAGGATCTTAAGAAAGGGAGTGATTTGGGGCGCCTGTGTGGCTCAGTTGGTTAAGTAGCTGACTCTTGATTTTGGGTCAAGTCATGATCTCAGAGTCCTGGGTTCGAGCCCTGAATCAGGCTCTACACTTAGTGGGGAGTCTGCTTGAGATTCTCTCTTTCGCTCTCCCACTGCCCCTCCCCCTGCTCATATGCTCTCTCTATCTTAAATAAAAAAATAAACCTTAACAAAAAGGAGAGAGGTATTTCAATTTCTATTTTAGGCAGTTCCCTCTGGTAATTTTTAGGAGGGTTTATTTGAGGAGGGCATGTGTAAAACCCGATCAGTTTGGAAAAATTTAGAGTAGTGCCAGCCAAAGAAGAGGGCCTGAATCAGGGCAGAGAGAGTAAAGTTGGAGAAGAGAGTTTAAATTTGTAAACTATTAAGGAGGTGTAAGAGAATGACTATAGGACAAAGAATAAAAATGTCCCTGTTGGTTGATTGGATATTGATGGTAAGGGATAATTAAGGATGATTCCTAATTTTTTATCATGAGTAAACATGGGTATTAACCAGCAGATAATATGAGATAAAGGGAGAGGGACAAGATTAGAAGGGAAAAAAACAAAACAAAACAAACAGCTTGATTTTGGACCTATTGATTTTGAGATCCTTATGTTGTATCCAAGCTGAAATGTTTAGGAGACCATTGGGAAAGTGCTCATGAAGCTCAGGAGAGAAATGGAAAATAGGGAGGAAGAACCTGTCCATTACAGAGACATAAACACATAGACTACCGGAAACTGCTAAGTGGTTAAGTTCCACCATGCAGGGTATGTAGAGTGAGGGAAGCATTGGGTTGAGAACACAGGTCAGGGAAACAGCGGTGTTTCTTGGGAAGGACTATAGGATTCCTGCCATAATGGCCAGACCTAAAGCCTGCAGTATTTGATTTCCTAATGCCATCTGCCTTCTTGTCTTGTTCTGCCTATCAGCTGGGCAACACAGAGTTTCATATTCAACTTCTGGTAGTTAATATTTCTTGTGCCTAGAGTTGCCCAAATGCCTTGGGAATTATGCCTTGCTGAGCTGAGTAAAATTCCACGGACTGCCATGCCCCATTTTTAGAAGCCCTGCTTCCTTCCCTAAGAGGTGGGTCCAGTATAAGCCCTGAGCTTCCTTAGCCATACCTGACCTGTTTCCCTGTGAATAAACTATTATCATCAGCTAATGATAACTAAGATACCACCACCTCCAGACAACTAAATGTCACTTTATAATTATACCTGGGAAGGTTATCTTGAAATTTTATATACCGAATTCATATATATCGAATTATGTCATCTGGCTT